GCATTTATATAAATACCTACATTTGTTCTGTTTTAACTCAAATCACAAAACAATCAAACTCAGAGACTGTCCCTAAGTCTCCTCAATCACACTGTGTGCTGTTGGTGAAAGCCAGCATCCTTCACTTCCTCACATCCATCTTCCCTATTCCCAGTGACTGGAAGCCTGGCAATTGTATTTCATAGAATCCCTTGCCAGTTGGATTCTAGGCCATATTTGGACAATAGAAGGCAAGCATGAGAGATGGAAAATATAGAAAACAGAAAGCAGATTCCATATTATGCCCCTATGCGGTGGCGGTGGTCAGAAAGATGGTCTTCAACAAGTTTGAGAATTCCCTGTGAGTTGCCAGTTGCTTCCAGGTAAATTTTCTTCCATCCCGTATGCTGGTGATCATTACTGGTAGTTTTCTGTCATACTAGAAATTCTCTGTCCCTCTATAACCTGAGTTAACAGAAATATTCCATGACCTTTGCTTTGAGAAGCATTTTGGCAGTTAGGAAAGCACTTAGCACCTTCTGTTAAATGCTCTCCTGTCGGAAATAACTTAAATAGTTGCTCTTTTCTAGGCAAGTGCCTCTGAGAAACTAGCTGGCACTGAAAGAAATCCTAAGAAACAGACTGAAAATGAAGGGGACTCTGGATCATAGATCTGCCTCATTAATTTAGACAGAAAAAATAACATTAGTGCCTGAAGAGAAGGCATTACTGGTGGTCCATGATATTAGAAAAACAAAAATCTTAAGTCATTAAAGTGCCAGCATCGTTGTCTGAACAAAGTGCCTATTAAAGATAAGAATTTGAGAAATATAGAGGCTGTTACAATAAAACATTCCAATCATTGTAATGATGACCACAAGGACTCTGAGGGAGTCTCCTAACTTCTCACTGCACCCGTTCTTCCTACACAGTGAAACTGAAGATTTCGGGGGTTAAAATTTTAAGTTTAAGGCATGATCAATCAACAAACTTCTTAAATTTATCTTGTTTTTACAGCCAAGTACAGGACCAATATATTTGAAAATTAGACTCAGATCTGCTGACAACTATTGCACAAGTGTAGAACACATTGGATTTCCAACTTTGCTTAGTCTCCTGTGCGAAAGTTAACACACTGGAAAAGATTGGAGACTTTTGGAAGAACTCTAATTGACTTGTGCCTTCAAATTCCATGGGATCTCCTTGCAGGTAGAAAGAGCCCTTCTTCTCTGCATGTCTGAAGAAGCCAGAAAGGCTGCACTTGATGTCTTTACCTCTCTTGAAATCACTGATTCCCCACAAGACGTGCCTATCACCTGGCATTGCTTCCTGACCTAGTACTAGAGTTAGGTCAGAAGAAGATGGGGATAGAGTCTGACTTGGGAAGAAATATCATACATTTAGGAAGAACGGAAAGTTTTCATAGTTTATATTGGCAGGAACCCATGAAGGGATGCTAAAAATGGATTTTAAGGGTGCCCTAGACCAAAGAGGCAAAAAGAAAATATTATAGAAAACTACATTTATTGATATAATTGCCCTTCCTCAGATATTCCAAACTCATGATGCTGAGGCTTATGAACATGATTTACCAGATTACTGGGTTAGTAGATGAATCCGCACTCCGTAGGGCCAAGGCCGGGTAAAAAGAGGTGCCAGAAAATGTCAGTAAAGATGCACAAAGGCAGATAGAAATCTAGCATTGCTTTATCAAGTGTGGTCTGCTCCCCATCTCCTTATATGTCATCTGAAAAGGCACAGGTGAAATCTTTTCACCAAAACAACCAGAAATAAATACACTGGTGAGACCAAGGGTAGTGACAGGAAGTAGTAAGTCCACTGAAGTAGTGTTTCCAGATTCAGTGGAAAGAATGGGACCCTGCACAGGGACAGAGCCCATGTGACTACACTTGGAGGACAGAAGCGAGGTGGGAGTGACTCCCAAGAGGGCTGCAGGTTAAAGCAGAAACCGACTTGGGCCACGGAGATCACCGGAGCTGGCCAGGAAGCCGTATCAGTCACTGGACTATCACAGAAGTACTGCTAACAACCTGATTTTCATAAATTAACAAGCTCTAGGTCACTCCATAAAATTTCTAGGCACAAGTGAAAAACAAGGTCTCTTATACAAAATCCACGCCCAAGCCCCTGTAATGAAGAGCGGGAAGGATACCTCGGATTTCACCGAAGTAATATCCTCTAAATGTCCTTAGAGATATTTCAAAGGGGCCTGCTGTCAACGACGGTAGACATTTTACAAGATGAAGTGAGTTCCTCATTTTGGAGGCATCCTGAGCAAAGACAGACTCTGCCAATGTTAGACTAGACTTTTTGGTTCTTTGACCCACTGGATATTAGGAACTACCCTTGGAACTGCCTCCTCCCCTTCTAAAAACTAAAGTAAGTTGGGAGATGGCACAGATTAGTGTCACCATAAAAGACTGAATCGTGCAGATATAGGATTCCTATCATGTTCACATTTAACTACTCTATTTGACCAGAGCTGAAAATAAATGACCTTGGAGAGAGACAGTGAATTATTGTAAACAAAATCAGAAAGTAATTCCCATTGCAGCTGCTTCTCCAGATGTGTGCTCCCTCTCCCTCTCCTCCCCTCCTCTCCCTCTCCCTTTCCTCCCTCTGCAAACCAAGGTATCACTGAAATTTGTTACATTGCTATTAGAAGAAGAAGAAAAAAAAGGTCCTACGTACTGCTAGGAAACAAATGCAGCAAAGGTACTTCATTTTTCCCAGTAGGACACCATTCTGTCCTCACCTCACCGCAGCTCAATTGTCTGCCCTTGTTTTGTGATCTAATCCAAAGGGATTGATCACTCAGCCATCACGCAGGACATTTTGCTGACCCTCTACATTGATGACTGTGGCAGGTTACATTTTCTGAGTTGAAAGATGGTCCACACGGGCCTCTATTAACCTATGATGAATCACATCCAAGGCACTTGGCTCTTTTAAGGAAATACAAAAATGGGATCTTTAGGTCAGGAAATATAAGATCCCAGGTGCTACAATGAGGCAAAGTAGGCTAAATTCTTCTGCTCTTTAAAAAAAATTTTCCATTTTTTTTAATAACTCAATCAATGAAGAAAATTTCTAGAGAAATTGGTGGAGCAATACATCAGAGCCAGACCTCTATAGAGACTGTGAGGCTAGGAGGTAACTGAAAGGCACAAGGTTGAACCCCATGACGGGAGTTTATGTGACTTAGAAATCAGGACATTGAGACTGTAGTCCGGAGCAAGATGCTTACTGTTCTTTGCTACCAACCCTTATCTGTTAACTTCCTGTATTTTGTAAAGTCTCCATACGTTGTAGAAATCACAACAGTAGGCTAAACTATTATTATTTGGTGTTATATTTAAGGTCTAAAACATCACCTGTATATGGTAGGTTCTCTGAAAAAAAAAAAAAGTGGATAAATTGAAAAGATCATGGTGTTTCTACAGCAGCCACAAGATATTCTGTGTATTCTTGGGGCAAAGTGAATAAAGTTTAGGTGCACAGATAAAACAACTACCGGGGTGTGATGAAGAAGTGTGGATGTAGAGTTCATAGACCCTGAAGCCACTGGAAGATCCTCAGAATGATGAGAAAGCTCTTGGTCCTTTTAAGACAGAGGTTCAGGTATCAAAGAAATAAATGGACTTCAACAGGCTTCAGGAGCTAAGTGAAATGGTACAAGGTTGTGACACCAGCACTTTGGAGGCTGAAGCAGGATAATTGTAAATTTCAGCCCAGCTTAGGCAATTTAGCAACTTAATAAGACTTTTTTCTCAAACTTACATTTTTTTTAAAAAAAAGAAAGGTCTGGGGATGTAGCTCAGTGCAGAGGCCCTGGGGTCAACTGCCAATAAAAAAAAGGCAGAGAGGGAGCAAGGAAGAGAAACTAAAGGACATGGGAACATTAGATAACACACAATAGATTTAGTTCAGCTAAATCTTATAAATGTGAACTCGGTGTGGTGAAAGATGTAGATTTCAGTAGAAGAAAAATGCAAAAGGCAATAGTGCAAGATTGAAGACACAAACGCAACCAGCTAGCCAAGGAGAAGTGCCATCCGATGGATTCTTACCTTTCCCCAAGACCCCACTTAATGTCACTGTCTACACTGGATGCGTGTGCCTCTTGGGAAGGCCTGAACAGGGCACTAAGTCTGCTCACGCAAGCCCCAGGTGGAGAAGTGCGGACGAGGGACCCATGTTTCCGGGCACACAGATGCTACGCCTTCTTGCTCTCAGAAGGGCTGTCCACTCAGAAGTGGCTTTCATCGTCTCTGTTCTCTGAAGAGGCCCAGAGAATGAATCACAGAGCGGCGCTCCCGGGACTGTAGAAACCTCTTATTTCCAGGAAGCTGCAAAAGCCTAAAGTTGGATGACAAAGCTTTATTGTAACAAAGAAAAAAAATCCTTTCTGTGTATTTCTTCGCCAAGCGTCCCGCACTTGCTTTTCAATTTCAGTGTAATATTTGTACTAAATACTAAACCTGGACATTCATTCTCACAGTGAGGAAACCTAGATGTTCAAGGGGTACATTATTTATTTCTCTACAACGGGACTGAATTTAGCTCTAGAGCCCCACTTTCTGCTGGGAGCTGTAAATTTTAAGTAGCAATCAAGAACCTCCTCCAAGCTAGTGATCACCGGGTCCTTCTGAGGTTGTACGAGGGGTGCCCCCTTTGCTCTCCAGGGGCTTCCGAGACCCGCGAGTGTTTGAGGTGTTGTGCACCCATATGTCTTGGACCAACTCAGTCCTGATCATTGCCTTTCAGAGTGAGGTCTTGGAGCAGAAACATCAGAATCACAAGGGAATCTGTTAGAAACGCACATTCCCAGGCCCCACCGGAAACCCACTGAATCAGAAACCCTGAGCACAGGAAGGTCCGTTACTCACAGCGAGGCCTCCATGGAACTCAGATGCCTTTGCGACGCCCTGGTCTGAAGCCATCAGCACCCACCCACCTTGTTTCTGAGGAGAGGTGTGAGCTCATAGCTCTGTGGCTCCTGCCCCAGCACATCCTGGACTAAACTGTCCTCTTCTGCCCACTCCTCATCCTGTTTCCTCTTCGGTATGACTCAAAGATTGAGCCCTCCCTTCTCTGCGACCTTTCTTTCAGGGCTTGTGAGCCTCTAGATGAGATTCTCTAACTACGTCTTTTGGACAGCTGAGGCTTGCCGCTCAACACAGAACCTTTCTAAAGGCTTAGGGTCTGTTTACTATATTCTGGAAGCGGGCGAATGCAAATCTTCCCAGGAATCTTCACGCTCTTTGGAGTCTCCATCGCTTGTAATTATCAGGAAGGGATGGGTGGGAGTAGGCCCATTTCTTTCTGACACTTTTTACTCTGTTGTTCTCTTTGTCTCATTTTCTCCTCCCCACAATGAAGGAGCTGTTCTGTTTTGGTGTTGTCTGTGCTTCCTGCGTAAAGAAAAAACATCCTGGTAAAGTACGCACATCTAAATCTACTATTGAAAAAAGAACCCATGCTCTTTTTACACATCATTTATTTCCTCTAACAATATCAGTCCTCATCTTGAGAACCATAGCTTGTAGGACTATTACAGCTTAACAACTTTTGAAATTTGTTTTATACCTCAGAAACAGCACCAGTTGCTTCTTTGCATTTTTCCTTAATTGTCCTTATTTTCTTCAAGACCTCAGAATGAACTGAGGAAGACAAAACATAAGGATGTGTAAAAAATCAAACATACTGATTAAAATTTCAAGATAATATCAATTTCAAGAATCTTAGAAACATTACAATAGTTTTCTAAGTGTATTTCCTGATTGTAATTACTACACACTAAAATCTTGCTACTACTAAGATAATTTCTAATAAAACACTCCTTTCACGTATAATTTTCCTCTTTGGGATCTTTCAATAGATCTTATTAACTTAATTTATAGAAACCCCTTTATTCTCCCTTAAAATACCTGAAAATGAATGAATTCAAATCCATCCCTGCCCTGATCTTGCCTCTTGCATTAAATATTTTTCCTAACATATCAAAACTCCCATTGCATTCATCTTCATTTACATAAAATGACTTACATTAAAAAGGTAGAACTTTCATGAAATAATTCCCTCTCTTAGGAATATATCCCCAGTTGGTCTCCATCCATGGAATCAGCCAGCCTCTAGGACCTGGTACCAATTTTACACTTGACAAGAAATATTTAAGCAACATTAGACCAAAGGTCTAGATTCAGAAATACGTCAAGCAATCCTGTGGGCCATTAGATCTTGACAGAGTAGGTTTCTGTATTATTATTCCCAAGAATCTCTCCTTATCAAATTCCCAGTTATTTTTTTTTCTTTTTCTTTCATTTTTACTAAAATTCACATGTATGTTAAATAATCAATGATACTGTCTTAATTTGGGGAGATTTAAGATGTGTTTCCCTTGGTCAATTTCCTTTTTTAAATACTACGAAAGTATTTCTATTTCCATTTGTACAATCAAAGCTCTCTTCTGTCTTTTGCAGTATTGCTGCTGATACGACCCAGAATGTATTCCATTTATCAGGATTTCACAGGGATGGAAGATTGAACCCTCTTTAATAATTTATTCCACCACCTTGGATTCAATTAAATAGTTGTATCTAAATTTAGAAGACCAAATGATAATTTATACACTTGTATAATGTAATATTTGTCTAAAAGGTTCTTGCATTCAGTGCGATATACGAGGGTTGCAATGGCAGTTCCTATTTTACATTTCTAATCTGTATTTCATATTTCACTGCTGCTATGTGAAATTCTGTAACATAATGGTGCAAGAAGGAAATAATAATTCTTTTGAAATTCTTTCCAGGAGATATAGTCGAACTTTCTACACTTCTGGGTGCTCTATTTGATGACAAAAATCATTTCCAACTGCTGTCCTAGGTATTCTATTTTATTGTGTCGATGTGTTCTCCTCGTTCTGTATCATCACCGTTTCAATGCACTTCTGTAAGGGAACTGTGGCAGTACAGTGGTGCTTCGTGATTATTTTCTGGTTCTCTGTGACTCTTTTTGAAATCCTCTTTTTCTTGCTCACTCTCTGTTCTGGCAGCCTTTCAGGCTGGAGAAAGATCCACTTGTTCAAAATTACCCATCTAGCCATGGGTTGAATTAGTTATAGAGAAAGGATCTCTGTTAAAAATCCAAGGGTTCCATGGTAGACATGCTCTGGCCTCCCAGAGAGCTGCATGAAAAACTAGATATAAGTAAATCAGCTAACACTGCCTTATAAAAGCAACTTAGGAAATGTGCTTCTATTGAGGCCACGCTAATTTTTATAAGGTTGCTTTAAAATTCTGAAATAAAAATATTGTGCTATCTAAAATATAAACAACTCAGATTTTATGTCACAGAATAACCATTCTGAGGGTGTATATTTTTAAGTATTTGTATTCAGTGAATCTGGAAAAGAATCAACCTTCTTTTTAAAGTATGTAGAAGACTACACCTATAGTGCGTCTCATGTGAGTCCATTTTTAACCTGCAATGATTTTTAAAGCCAAATCATAAGGCTTTGATAGAAACAGAACTACCATAATTAACTCAGTCATCAAAGAAGGCAATTTTTCCTGGGCATCCATTCATAGTTTGAAATATTTCTAAATACTGCAGATTTTATCATTACTGAAACAATACAGAAAAGATTACCAACCTGCACCTGAATCTTTCTGTTAATACCCTATTTAGGGAACTACTGAAATTATTTCAGCAATATGTTTTAAGACTACAGCATCATATAACTAATGCTGTAACAAGAACTTTTGGAGAAATTCGTGTTTTTTATTTACAAAACCAAATACACAATTATAACTTTCATGTCATCAAAAACCATTTCACTGTCTAGCTTAAATTGCTCTCTGAAACAAGTATAGCTTTTGTGTTTATTTAGCATTTTTACTTCAAGAGGAAAAATTCTAAAACTAAAACACTTACTTAAATTTAAAAGTACCAATGATTACATTGAATAGTCACCAGTTTTAGAATAACTTATTTAATGGTGTTGAATACATACATACATGTGTGTATGTATATATATAGATAGATAGATAGATATAGATAGATATAGATATATATAGATATATATATACATATATATGTCAAAACACACCCTAAGAGGTTGACTAAGAAGTTGACTTTTTAAAGTTTTTGTGCAGTGTAGAAAAATACACCTCCCCATTCCCTAGTTAGGCAATTATAATTATTAGGTCATTGGTTTAAAAAAAATCAAAGTGCTAGATTTGTAGTTCAGTGGTACAGCAGTTGCATAATAAGCATGAAGTCCTGGGTTCTAGGTTCAATCCCCAGGACTGCAAAAGTAAGTAAATAAACTGAGATATTTATAGCAGTAAGCAGGAATATAAAAGTACAAAAGTCTACTTTAAACAGATTGTGATATTTTGTGCAAAAAAATGTAAATCTTCAGGTTGTCAAGGAAAGCAGAAATTTAGTAGGCCTGACCCATGATAAGCCTTTTGCACTACTCTGCTGGCTAAAAGGAGTTCGGCTATTTTTAGCCCCGCAATAGCCAGGAACCAGGCAGGAATGGATTAGGAAAGAGAATCAATGTGGGAGGGTTTCTGTACTCCTTAAATCTCTGGCTCCACAAAACTGAAAAGGGGACAGGGCTTCTGATGACCGAATTTGGATGCAACTTAACCCAAGGGTTTGAGGAGGGATTCAGGGGAAGTCACCACAGGAGCCAGGAGTGCAGAGAACAGGAGAGGTTTCCAGGGACAGGAGTGGCAGATGATCCCATGAGCTTCTAACTGGGAGGTTAGCGAGCAGCTTGGCCTTCAAAAATAAATCTTTGCAAACCAACCAAAAGAGCAGCTCTGTAAGTGAAGGCAAGAATGGTTCACTTGGCCCCAAATGTTTAGCATCTTCTGAAAAGCTGATGGGCAAAGGTTTAGTATTATTTTTAAATCAGAAAAAAAAAGCATGTCATTTGGGTTTTGTATGTTCATGAAAGAAATGAGAGTCTGGCTAGAAGATTTGACACCCCCAAACTTTTCCCTTTATGGGGATGCCTGTGCAAAATTATGGTGAAAACAGTGGAGATAATTTTTTCATCTTTATATGTTTAAAAGGCACATCAAATCTCCTTGATCATGCTAGAGTTTTAAATGTATTATTATTTTCTAACTAAATTCAAGGGTCATGGCTCTGCATTTAATCCATGAAAGACACACTTATCACCATGAGGCCTTCTTTACTGCAAAGAGAGGTTATGAAAAAGAGAGACTGCATGGGGAGATGAATATTATTCTCTAAAGATCTCTGACAGTGTTGCTATACTTACCTCTCTGTTTTATGGAACGTATATCCTCTGGGCATCTTAGCTATGCAGCAGAACATCCCAGATGTCTACCTACAGACTAGAATCCTTTGTAGCAAATTTTTACTAATTCGCAAAATGTTTATTTCTGAAAGCAGGTTGGGCTGGCATTAACTGGTACTGAGTTGTGGATTCCATTGCCAGAAAAGCCCTGATGGTGAAACAGTCTGATGATGAGCTCAGTGGTCCCAGGCTCAGATCTCTCTCCCCACCAAACGGGTCCCACGCTTCATCCTCACTATCCATGCTTCCTCCGGCCACTCCTAAAATGTGCAGGTGCCTCATTTGACACGGAGGACCTAGTTTCTGTCCTTCACGTTTATCCAGCATTGCCCACAGGCTTACTGTGCTCTAGACACTGCCACGAGCATTGAGAACCCGGGCTGAGTAAGGACGTAGTCCTGTCTTGGAAGAGTTTCTGGTCAAGAAGGGCTGGTTCATCACTAAACAGAGCAAGGACAGCCATCCATGGGCAGAGGGAATAGATGGCCCCAGAATTTGCAGGCTGACTTACGGATTCAGTCAAGACTCCCTGGGAGGAATGAGTCTTGAATTAGTCCTGACAGATTAAAGCAATCCAGGAATGTTTCATGTGTGGGGGAAGCAATTGGTACTGGGAATTGAACTGATGGCTTCTCAATGGGCTACAATGCCACCCCCCCTTTTTTTGGAGACAGGTTCTAATTGGCACAGGCAGGGCTTGAATTTTGTTATCCTTTGGCCTCAGCCTCCAGAGCACCTGGGATTACTACATGCACCACCTGACCCAGCTGTGAAAAACACTGCATTAGGTCCTAGGTTATAGTACAAATGAACTCAAGGGTTAGAGCTGGGTATTCTTCTGAAAGTCACATATTGACGTCCTAACCCCTACTGTAACTGTATTTGGAGGTAGGACTTTTAAAGCTGTAATTACGTTTAAATGTGATCATGGGTGTCGATTCTCAATCTGATAGGACTGTTTCCTTAAAATGGGGAGAGGGGGAGTCGTCCACCTCCATTCAGCATGGAAATGCCGAGGATGCAGACAGCACAAGGTGGCATCCACAGGGAAGAATGCCCCCCACTAAAACCTGACCAAGGGGCATCCTGATCGCAGGCTTGTAATTCCCAGAACTATAGGAAAAGCCATCTCTGTTGTGACAAGCCACTCAGCCTGTGGCATTTTCTTCTGGCAGCTTGAGCAGACCACTAAGAGAAGCCCTCATGTGTTAGGATTAAAAGTGTGCTGACTAGACAGCACGGTTTGAGGTTTGTGCTGGGTGAGGTGGCACTCTGGATGGAAGGAAGAAGGAGAGGGAAAAGAAAAATAATAGAATAGCTTTG